GTAATATTTTAATGCAAATATGCTTTACCACTGCATTTTATTTAAAAAGAAAAAAAAAGTTCCCATGCCTCTGGCTAGGGCAATATCCATTTGATGGGAGTTCACTGAAATCAGCCTCTTATTCCCTGGTCAGGTCTCACTGAATGTGTACTCTTTTCCTTGGTCGGTTAAAAACACCTCCAAAAAAAAAAGAAAAGGTTAATTAAACTTTCCTTGCGAAAGAGGTTTTTGCTTTTAAAGATCCTATGTGTGATAAACCCACCTAAGGCAGAAACACTAATTCTTACTTCCCTACATCCAGTCCCAATGCAAATTTACACCTAACATTATTTAATTAGGATTCCATTTTCCAACCTGCTTTGTATAGTTAGAAAGTGTTTGAATACACGGCCACTTTATCGCTCCGATGTAAACTGCTGCTGAGAAAGTGGTCTGTCCATGCTACACCACCTTTAAATTGTGTATATAATTTTATAAATGATATAAAGTCTGCTTCTAGTCCCTGAAAAAGAAATATAAGCATGGCACACTGCAATTTTGGAAGGATGTAAAATATGTGATTTCTGCTGGTACCTACTGTATTGGGTTTAATATAAAGCTTTTTTCAATAAGGTAAATTGTTACATGACAAACTCATCTTCCACCATTATCATCTGCTGTTTGTGTTTAACAACAGGAGTCCCGCTCTAACAAAACTGTTGTAATGGCTGTACAAATTACTCAGCTGAAAGCTTTTCACCAAACAAAACAGTATTAATCAGCAGTTCTTATGAAGGTGCTAATTAAAAACAATTTTCTTCCTCAGTTTGCAATACTAAAGCCATCTTCACTTGCACAGTTTCCAATATACAGCTACTGTATTTGCTCACACTTCAGGCCCTCTATTAACTATTGAATCTCCTATTAGCCATTTTATTACATTTCTGTTTACAAGCTTGTTGACATTTTAAAAGTCACAGTATGATCTGTTTCATCTATTAAAAAATGTATTAATTGAAAAGTCGGGGGGACAAAAAAGGCAAAAGATAGACTCCAAATGAACAGACGTCCAGGGCAGAGAACAGAGTGAGCATTTAGTCATAGTCTGGGCAGTAAGGTTTCTGGGTAAAATGAAATCTGAGAATTAAACGTGGCATTTCAGGCTTAATGGTTTGTTAAACACCAACGGGCTGCTTCCTAATTTGGAAATAGTCCACTCAGGAAAACATATTTGCCCACTGTCTAAATTCAGTGTCTAAGGAGACCCAGTCTGACTTTCAAATCAATCTTTCCTCTCTGGGATACACTCAGCCTAATTTTGACATTTCATACAGTCTGAACTCAGGAGACTTTGATCTGGGGTGGGGAGTGTACCTGGAATCTGGAAGCAGATTGAGGGTCTAAACAGCCTTATCTTCCCTGTGAGTGTGTCTATGTGTGTGTGTCTACGTACACAAGACTCCCTCCCCTGCGTGAGCATTCTGCCCCATCCCCCGAGTCCACTGCTGGACAATGCCACTCAATTGCTTGGCATAGATTGGAAACAAGTCAAATGCTGACTAAGCACGAAAGCTCCACGGAAGCTGTGTTGCGGGAAGGGGACGGTCCATTCCTATTAAAAAAGAAGAAGCCTAACCCTTAGGAGAAGGTATGCCCCACTTTGATAGTGGAGAGAAAAAAAACACACAAAAAACCCGCTACGTCAACAATCTCCTGCCTATGGTATTAAAACCAGGTTCTTCAACTGTCAAAAGCAGTTAACTAGTTTAGGAAAGACACCTGGCTGTTGAAATAGGGCTCCAAAAGGCCACTAATCCTTCCATTCACTCAGTTAACTGCTAGATCCCCCAAATTGATTCAACAGGTATGCAGTGGTAAATTCAGCCCATACTGAAGCCAAAGGGAAAAACAGCAAGGGGCGGGCAGCTCTTCTCTGAAAACACCGGAGGAACCAGCCAGAAAAGCTTTTATGGCCCGACAAGTTTTCTGCTGAATACAGAGCACCTAAATTACCCTACCCTAATGGAAGTTACATTTTCATGCTCAGTCAAAAAGCCAACAAAATACACAATTTATACAAAATAGCATCAACCTCTTAGGTAGTCTTTTCTAGCACTTTTATCCCAATTCACAGCATATGTCTTGCTATAAAATAAAATATATTTCTTATAACCAACTTGCATGTGGCTGTTCATATCACTGCATTAGAACTGACCATGGGCGATATTAGAAACATTCTCACATCCAACCAAATCTATTTAGTATGACAAAAGAGATTTGTGAGTTTTCTCAGAAGATACAGGTACACAGGAAACAGGAATATAGTAATAATTCTTATGATTTCAGACAGGCTTTGTTTTGAAACAAACACAGGCACAATTACACAGACAATTATGAAATGGGGCATTTCAATTGCAATTATGCAACCCAATACCGATGCAGAGAAATAATTCTTACCCGTAAAGTTCAAAAGAAATGTAAGTGGATAAACTTTCTAAAGCAGCTATAATTTTTCCCCCTCTCAATATCGGCACTTCGCCAAAATTTGAGAAAATAAAAACACTTTTAAACTATTCAATAATATACAACATTAGTTTCTTACAAACTTCCAAAGAGCCTGGACTAGTGACATCTCCAGGTAAGGGTCCCATAAAGAGCAAATCTATGAAACCCTTAACATTTTACAAAAGATTCTCTAGGTTTTAGTCACAATGAACATATTTCTTTACTCAATGTCTTTTGGTAGCACAGCTCAATTCTTATACCCTGTCTCCAGCTTAGGTAACTGTACACACTATTCTCAGATATTAAGAAAAAACACACTACTAATTTACTTTTTAAAATACAACCTATTCCAGCAAAATAAACACTGGATTTCTACACCCACAACACACAAATGTAAACTGAATTCTTGCCAATTCATGTATTTTCATGAGAATAAAATGGAACTATTCTCATGGTTCTGATGCTCTATATTTTACAGGAAAAAATAAGAACAGGCGATCTTAGATGCTACTGCAGGGATGGGTTTTCTTTGTCTGGCAGATTTAGTTGCAGGAAGAAATCATTTCTCTGTATTTTCACCAGTATAAATGGAACTACCTGTGTTGCCTTTTAAAATGTTCCAAATTCTGATTTTTTAAACAAGAAAATAGGAAGCCAGTGTGCAACCTATACAGTCGCCAAAGGAGAGCTGCCACTAGCTGAACTACTCAGCTAAATGGCTGGTTTGCATTGCCCTGGTCTTTATCTAGCACTGAGAATAGACTGCTGTTTTATCCAAAGAGGAATAAATTGCTGTTATTGTGATGTTAGCCCATCACTTGGCATTGCAATTCAAGTTTTTGTGAGAAAGAAATGTATGATCTAACTGCGACTTGACCTATGCCTTCAGAGATCCATCTAGGTGCTCTAATGGAGCAGAAAAAGTGGTGAATACAAGAACATGCAAACTGATGGTGAAAAATTTGTTTGATGATAGAAGTGAGCAGAGAAGACATCTGAGAGTCACTGTTTTTATGACAGCTAAGTTTGCTTAACATGCAAAAGGATTCGCCCCCAGTCTCCCACCTATCACTTTAATTGTGTCACACTAAATACACGCTTTGCCTCTACTAAAGATAGGAGGATATATAGCTAACCTACTAATAACATTACTGTGAAAGTGGACACAGATGATTCCTTACAGATAAACATCTGAGTTTCCACAAAAGGCATTAGAGCATCTCCGGGATGAACCAGGCAAGGAGAGGCTTGGGTTCCCTGCAGAAAAGTCATTCTCTCTTAATCCTAGGTAGCACATATTAAATGTTTACCACACACTTGCATTGCTGCATAGGACTATATATACTTACTTTCAATCAGATTGAAAGTGATTGAGTTTTTAAAAACTCGCCCTGGTTGCCATCTCATTTTATCAACCATTTATTCAAAATTTCCCTGGAAAGGACCTCTTTTGAAAGAGGCCTGGAGAACAGCAGTAGATTTGAGCCCTGATAAAGGCTCACTTTTCATCCATAGTCAGAGCCTAAATGTGCTCTTCTTGTACCTAAACAGATAATAAGCACTCAGCACACTCCTCCTCCTTGACACAACGCATTGAGACTAATCACACATAATTGGAGAGGAGGAGCAGAGGGCTGGCCATGCTATTGTGTCCAGAGGACAAACGGTCAGTTTATGAGGCTTTGGGCTGATGTAGTCATTTCTTATACATCTATAGGGAAAAAACACATCCTGTTTAAAAGAAAAAAAGAGAATGGCTGAGAGAGAGAGACAGCAAAACAGAGATGGCAGATTTAATACAATTAATTTGAGGGTGATCTGAAAGATTTGCTTTCTTTCTTTCTTTTTTTTAACCAGGAAAGAATCATCGTGTTTGCTGGGTTGGCAGATGAAAAATGACCACCACTAAAATAGAACAAAGACCAAGATATTTTCTAAAGGGGGGTGGGGGGTGGGGTGGGAATCACCAAAAGAAATTCTGTCTCAATGAGAGGGAAAAATATTTGGGTGGCTCTCAAGTCCAATTCAAATCTCACATAGGCCGCTTATACATACTTAAAGACAAAAGTTTGGTGCACGGCTTCCCTGGTGGCGCAGTGGTTGAGAGTCCGCCTGCCGATGCAGGGGACGCGGGTTCGTGCCCCGGTGCGGGAGGGTCCCGCGTGCCGCGGAGCGGCTGGGCCCGTGAGCCATGGCCGCTGAGCCTGCGCGTCCGGAGCCTGTGCTCCGCAACGGGAGAGGCCACAACAGTGAGAGGCCCGCATACCGCCAAAAAAAAAAAAAGTTTGGTGCAGGAAGAGCAACAAGCAGGACGGCTGGGGAGTCAACGTGGGTGAGGACAGGTGGACCCCGGAACGCACACATGGAATGTTGCAAAGGCAGTTGGGGCCCATGTCCTGGGGGCTTGAAAATCTCAGGGAGCTTACTACATATTATACCCGTTACAGATTTCTGTTTTTGTGAAAATACTGCCTGTGCACTGGATGTTTTCTTTGTCTTTCGAGCAGCTTAATCTTCTATTCATCTTTGGTTAAAATAAGCAGAAGTGGGTAATGAAGGTTTTCTTCATATATATCCTGGTTTTCCTTTTTCAACTGAAAAAGAATAATAGAGGAAAAAAGGGTAAGGAGACTCCAATTAGGAATTTTCACCAATCAATTTTAAAGTTGAGTAGAAGGAAGACTTCTTACCTAAGTATATTGTTCTGGAAAAATAAAGCACAAAAAAGCAACTCAAAGTGGTCCTCAGTGGCAGTGACAAGACAATACTATGTATCAAGTTGGGATTTTTTGTTTTTTTGGTAAGGGGGTAGGGTGTTTTTTCATAAATAGCCAGGCTGCTTTTATGACCTCTGTGGACTCCGAGGTACTTCGGCACAGGGAGTGCTGGGGGCTTGCTCATCTTCACCAGACCAGCCATTTGGCGTCGAAGTTTCTGCTCCTGGATCTCTCTGCCCCCTGCCAGTGACCCAGGAATCAGGCCAGCAGGCGTTTCAGATCATTTGGAGACCTGGGCACAAGGGACAGACTGGTGGGGCCTAAGACATTTCAGAGGCTCTCCAGCTGCTTCCTAGGGGTTTCAGTATTAATGATAAGTAATTCAAGCATTGTTTTCTCCGAGGAGGAAAACAGATTCCAACAACAGGAGCAGCAAAAGCTTCGATACTATTGAGGTGGAGTTCTGAGGGCCTTCCCATAATAGACTTAAGTCCAGTCAGAGTTCTCAAATCTAAAGTACACTTTTCCTCATTCAGCTAGAATAATTTTGAGAATCATATTTATATTTATTCTAGCAAATAATACATTGCTATCTATAAAGACAAAATTGCTATTTTGGAAGCTGGTGTTTTGGAGCCAATTGTGGATTTATTTTTGGATTTATAACGATCAGAAATAAATATTTCTTTTAATTCTACATGGAACCCATTCCTTTATTGTTTCAGATCAGACAAACATCCCACCCCGCCCTCCCCTGAATCTAAATAAATGGCTCCAGCATGACACTTTCCTGCATTCTTAGGTCTGGGGCACGTTAACTTGAATCTTTCTAAAGTGCATGTTTCTTCTAAATCATATTCCCAAACTGTGACATGCCCTCACTATTAAGGACAGCAGCAGTGATCCTACTTTTCCTTTTCCTCTGGGGAACATAAAGCCAATGCAGTCTCTACTTTCTAATCCATTTTCCTAAGAACTGATGGTGGTATAGTCGCTGAAGTCACTCATTCTGTTTTCTTTGATGGCGTTTTGCCCTTTTTACAGATGGTTAGTTGTCTATTTAGAAAGATCCTCATGAATTTTTGTTGCCACCAAAGTAACGACAGTGTTACTCCTAAACACACATCTGTCAACATCTCTCGATTTAATCTAATTTTTTAAAATGCCCCAAAAGTGGCTTCCTAAACTTCCCAAACCAAACCCACTATAACTGGGACTACTGACTGTAAATACCTTTGTTGCCAGTTGCCCTAGTGATAGAAGGAGCTCACTGAAATATTTTACAGAGGGAAGAGGGGGCCAAGCTAGCTAAATTCTTCCTCTGGGATTGGGGATAAGGGAAAGTTGATTACTCAGTGTGAGTCAGCTGACCTACTCACTCACAATGCACTAATATACAGAGACTCAAATGAGCTCTTTATAAAGTCCCTGAGGTAATATGTGGGATAAATAATTCTTCGGTAAATATGGGTTAGAAATCACTTTTACCTTGGATTCTATGCTGACCTCTGGAGGCCAAAGCAGGGGATTCCTTGCTAGAAGAGGCCAGGGGCCAGCCCCATGCTGACTGTGAGTCCTTCCAGCTATAGGAGAGAGCCGACAACCCGCAAAGGCAGCCCTACACCCCAGCACCAGATCATTTCCGAACGCAGGCTGTTACATGAGGGTACTTGAACACACACAAAGCTGTTAGGAAATACTGGCTTCGATGGGGGAACATTATGTGGTTTAAGAATAATTCCATGTACCCAGGCTGTACTTCTTGGCCCAATTAATAATTATAATTTTAAGAAATAAAAAAGCACCTTGAAAAAAAACAAACAAAAAGCAAATTGTGAATAAAACCATTTTCCAATTTCATAGGTTAAAACAGGGTCTTTGAGGACTGAACTGTATTGTATAGCTGCTATTAGTGGCATTATGCTTTACTTCATAATTGGATGTAACGCGCTCAGCCTCGCCACAGTGCGAACAGCAGCAGCGGGAGTGAAGTTCATACTGTTTACCCTTTACAGTATCCACAATTATCAACAGCACACCACACAGATTATACAAACCAGCCACTTGTAATGTGGCATTTTGAATAGATAAGCAGAAGTGCAATAGGGCCGTGCTTTTAACACAATGTACTGACTTCACAGCCGAACCTGAGCCTATTTTCATGGCTAAACACAAAAATACAGAAAATAAACACATCGGTGGTTTTGCAAAAGTTAAAGAAAAAAAAGGAAAAGAAAACTATGGCATGTAAAATTATATTCCAAGAATATTTGCATGATTGAGAATATTTTTATCACCTCATTTCAAGCCAGGTGTAATCTCTAAGTCAAGTCTCTAGCTTGCTAAACAATTGCCTATCTTAATATCCTAAAGGATTTGAGCCCTAACATGGGGCAATGCATTTGATTCCTAGCCTGGAGGAGACCAAGAGGTTAGGTGGGAGAGGGAAGTGTGTTCTTTTTCTCCCCGTTGCCTGGACGAACAGAAAGGCAATATTTTAAAAACACGCTACACCTTTGGCTGCCTGGCTCCTGAGCACAGTGGCTGCATGGTGTGGGCACAATTTAACAAAAGCACTGGCACAAAAGTGCAGAATGGCACCGTTTTGATTACAGGCTTGCTTTTTAACGGAAATAAAATTTCACAGTTAACAATGAGAGGTGAAAAGTTTAAGAGGCAAAGCTGTTCCTCCTGATCATGACTGTTAATCAGCTTCATGGGTGGTTGCCTAAATCTGCAGATTTTTTTTTTTTTTTTTTTTTTTT